TTGATGCTGAGGTCCTTGACTTGTTCTAAAACATGCAGAAGGAACTCCACCTCGACAGTCCTCAAGATAACCGTATCGAACCTGTACCTGAACCAAGGGTAACAACTTTGGGACTGAGCGACATTCCCAGCTCTTGGCTATCGAACGAGGACGTTCGAAATTAAGGAGGGAGGAGTTAACAAATAATAAGTTTAGAAATACGCGGCGGCCTAATGCGCTACACGCGCAACACATTTATGCTGACCACGCGTCTTCCAGACTGTGGGAACGCTAAAATATTCTGCAACCCAGTATGTTACACGCGCAAGACATTTTTGCTGACTACGCATCTTCCAGACTGTAGGAGCACTAAACAATATCACGCCACCGTATCTGCTACTGACGCCGTCCGCTGCCACTTTGTGTTGCTGTGACAACGCTGCTGCCAGGAACAACTACGATATTGGTTTTCGATTTGGGTTTAGTTCAGTTGGTTTTTCTAACTCAACAAAGAAGGTGCGATTCGCTCCTAAAGTAAAACGTAACGTAAGCGAAAAGCATTTGCTTGCATTACTTACATTTCTGAGGGGCCGACATCGGCAATGCTCGGACTTCTCATTTTCGAGTGAGAGGAAATTTCTTTGCTTTTTTCGATCGGGAATGAAAAGCAATGGAAATTTTTTTGTCGATCGCTTCCGAATGTAAGATGATAAATTTGTGTGCATTTTTCACTCGCGATAAAAGAATGCAAACATAGACTTGGAATATTATCGATCGCGATAAATCTCATAAATGAACGAAAACGAATAATCATAAATGAGAATTTCCGAACCCTGGTTATTACAAATAAGCATTCAATATGACATAGCTACGTCCATGGGAACTATGCCCGAGAGCTACGCATATCTTTGTGAATTCATTTCCATAGCGCGCTCTTACTCCGCTGCTATAATTTCAAATGCAATATAATCCATCGTTTTCTTCAAAATATGTAAAATCAAACCATTTTGTTATGTCTCTACGGCCAATTTTTCAATTTCCTATAGGGTACTTTAAGGAGCTTTTCGTACATACATGTGTGCCTAATTGGTTGTTTTTTTTATGTTTTGTTTTTAATAAACCCCTGAGCAAGATGTGAAAAACGGGCGGTGAAATAAATAACACAAACGGCAATAACGCGAAATTTGCTTTATTTTACTTTTAAATGGGAGATAATACCGACGTCTGAGTTTTGCTTAATTTTTAACAAAGGTTGGAAATAAAAGAAATTTTGACTTATTTCCCATTGCTGATTTATACTATTTGTAACAAAAGTAGTTTACTGACAGAAGGAAAAAGAACATTGTTTATTCCAAAAATACAATTAAACAAATATTTTTACTGAAAAGTCGAACAAAATATAGGAAAAGCGCGTTTATTATAATAACTGCCGGCAAATTGGACATAGCGCTTTTATATGAATTTTTTCTGCTTTTTAATATGTTGAAAACATTGCTGGAAATCCTTAAAACCAGCTTTCTCGCTGGTTGACATTAAAAATATGTACATTTGATATGATAAAAATGCATAAATGTTATTTTAATGCAAAACTGACATTAAAAATTTAAAATAACCACTATTATCCAATGTAGTGCGGGCATTTTAAATGTTAAATTAACATTAAAAATATGTACATTTGATATGGTAAGAATATAAATCTATACGGATCTAATATCATTTTGATATTTTGTAAATGTAAAATAAAACACTGAAAATATTTTTCTAAACAATTTTATTAATACAAAATGATTTTTATAAAAACAATTTAACTCAAAATATTTTATTTCTTATTAAAGTAGTTCCATCAGGAATACAATATAGATGTATAGGTGGACCAGTGAAACTTTTTATATTAATTATTTCAAAAAAAGTATGTTTCTGCCCTACGACATAAGACTGAAAGTGTTCTGAAAATTCAATTAATTTGTATTATTTCATTACTATTGTTAATTGAAATGTTTAAAATTTCGTAGAGTTTAATTACTTCTTCACACGTTTTTGTCAAAAAGTAGCGTTTTTTATATGTGCACCCTTTGCAAGTTAAACTCATAACTGACACGATTGTTGAAATTTGTGATTTCAAGATTTCAAAATTTATAATCGATTTAAAATAAGGAAAATTTGCAATACTAAAAGACTGAGTGCTGCCATATTCAATGGGGTTCGGTAAGCATTTGCAATGCTCTTTGATAAAAAGCAGTAAACTTTAGCGCCGCTTTCATACTTAAAGAGTAAGAAATATTTTTTCGTGAAGTTATACTTCTGGCATAACTTTTGGCTTCTTTATGCTTGGACTCATATCTAAAGGCCCATAAATATTTAGGTGGGTTAAAAAGTGAAATTTAGGTTTTAGGGGCTTATTAAAAAGTTGAATGAACGTTTCATTGTGAGTTTTTATCATATAATTCAGTTCTTTTAATTTTCCGCTAGTAAAACAACTTGTTAAAATCCAAGTCAACTATTTTGAGGAGTGTAATAAATAGTCCCCAAACTATGTTACCTCTTGGAATGCGATCACCAATGATTAATGGGAAAAAATTAATGAATGACATCATTTCACGAGCAGACATTTTAATTTTATTGTTAGTTATTTGAAGTAAATCTAAAGGAGGGGATTTGTTTCCAATTTCCGTTTCGCCGTAATTAAACATTTGCTTTCGGTAATTGAAAGCTTCAATTGAGAATAACTTTTCTTGAGTTATAAAATATTTTAAAATTTCGCATATGTCATATCTGCACACACCTTCAATTAAATCGTGAACTATACCAGCTGCGTAATTTGTCGTAGCATGAAATGTGGCTAATTCATTAAATAAGCTATTTGATTTTACCCCTGTCACCTTGAAGTTGTTTGTTGCCAATGCAGCGTTATAATTTTGTTCATTTCTGTATAATTCAGGGTAGTCAACGCAATCATATGACATATCATTCTTGTGTCTGTTACAGAAACGGCAGTCATAATTTGAATTAAATGATGAAGTAAATCCGAGAATATCGTTTAGATCTAGATTATCGTCAAGGACAATCCATCTTCTTCAAATTCTGCAAATTTAGAAACTAAAGGTTTTAAAAATAGATCATTACCAAATTTCCTTTGATCATTGCTTTTAAAATAAGCCGCTATAAATATGTAGTTTAAATTCGAGAGCAGATATTGTGGCAGCACCGGAAAGCTTAATATACGCCACAAATTGAATCCACATTTGCGTGGCTTCCTAGGGGGTTATTTATTTCAAAACTATCTAAATAAATAAGAAATGGTATAATAGTTTTACCCATTATAAAAAGTGCAAGCAACTTAATTTTAAAATTACACACACACATTCCCATTTTCAATCTCAAACAACAACTTTGAACAACTTCTTTTTTTTACTCTCAAATTTACATGATTTTAAAATGTTGGCAAACTTCAAAAATAATCATGGCCGACGAATTGAGAGAACGGTTTTACCTTACTAGGTTTTTATCATGGTTTTATCCCTGTAAAACTCAACTTTCTGCTTAAAAGATTCTGAGTTAACAAAATGAGTTATGTCAGTGAATTGCGTTAGAGCTATTAAGTTCTGCAACACGGTATCCAAAACCCTAGTTCAAAAAATTTACGAAATTGAAACTCTTATACAACCTTTAACGTTGCTTGCATCTAATGTAGATTGACCATTTTGAATAACTTCTGTTATTTCATTATTAACATTAAAGAATTGAGGCCTTGAAAAATAGTCTGAATTCGATAAGTCTTTCAATAACTTGTGCTCCGATTTTATTTCTTCAAACGGATTTTCGCAAAAATTTATAAATTCTATAAATTTCTCTCTATCAACTTCAGGTACGTGGTCTGCTAGGTTTGATTTAAGAGCCTGTGCTATATTTGAAGTAATACTAGAAACCCCTTGGTGAATAAATAATACGTCTTTTCTTGTAACATTCGTTTTTGAGTGTAAATTAATAGTAAAATTTTCACATTTTTGAAATATTTCTGCTTTACGCGCAGAAAATTCAATACTCTGTTTTTGAATATGGCACTCAGTTTCATATGATGTTGCACTAAAAAAATTGTGTGGTGATTTTGCTACAGTTTTTGGTTTACAGTTTAATTTAGGCCTATATCTTTAAGTTAATTTCTCTATATGCTTTTTACAGTGCTTTTGAAAAGCCGATAGGTTGGGAAATTATTGCATGCAATAACTAAATGTACATTGAAAATAATCATTATGCCTTAAACCATGAATTAATCGAAAATGTCGTACAAGATTTCAAGGCTATCCAGGTCTAGCTTACAAACGAAACAAATAATTTTTAAATCCGTTAACCGTCTTTAAAAGCATTTAAAAATTCTAATAAAGCTAGACTCTAAACATCAAAAGGTGTAGAAATTTCATATACTTGCTTTTGCAAAAAATACCAAATTAATATCGACTCTGTTGGATAATTAAAGTTAAAAACATGGAAAATCTTGAAACAAGCATCTAGTGCTGACACAAATGAATTAAACTTATACAATATCTCGTCAGCGCATATAAAAATTTCGTTTAGTGATAACAAGTTTGGGCCTACCACTATTATATACGGCTGAATTATAATTTTTCTCTCCAAAGATATCCGTGTACTCTCTTCTCGAATCATCTGCATATCATTTATGCAGTTTATGTGTACAAAACTGCTCTGTATTGCTTCCCTTATTGTCGTTTTTCGCATAAACTTCTTTCCATCAACGATTATGTTAAGTCGAAAAGTTGGTTTACAATGCAGTCTCTGAAATCTTAAAAAGCCTAAATTAATAATAGAAAATGAATTGACTTTGCTAGAATAAACATATTTTCAACCACATCCAAACTCAGCGACTGAAATAACTCTACCTACTATTTATCTTTGATGTGGGCTTTGTAGAGACTGCATAATTTATCCCTTACGTTAGACCATTTGTTAACTTAGGGTAAGAACATAGTGGAGCGGCGAGCAAAGAGCATCGAGCAAAGCGTCGATTTCAAAACGCATATGTTTCAATGGGAAAGCGCATAGTGACCCTGCAAAAATCGTTGGACCATGTAGTCTATTTGTGGTAAATTGGAGTACTTACAAAAGTGTTCCTCTGTCATGCTGTAGCGGACCAGCTCGTGTCTCTACGCCACCTTATTGTTTGTTATCCGAAAACTGCTCGTGTTTTAACGAAATGTGATTGAAGTTGAGCATTTGAAAGCAAATTTGCATGTCTGGCTGTAGCTGAACGTGTAGAGATGCTTGCTGTTAGTTCTTAGCTCCCAGCATGTTCGGGTTCGAATACCGTCAGAGGCAACATGTAATTTTTAATTTTTGTCTTGGTTTTTATTAATTTCGAAAAAGCATTTGAGAAGTGAAGAACAAAAGCGTGTACAAACGAAAAAATATAACAACAATGCCATTGTTAATTTGTTGGAGTAGTTTTGTGCTACTCTGATGTAATGCAGGGATGGAGTATATGGTCCTGCCCTAGGACATCGCAATGTTAATTGGACCATATTTTTTATATGAATTGTGGTTAATTTTGGAGTATTCTTTGGTCCTTAGGGAGTACTCTTTACACGCATGCATGGAGTATTCGCGATTTTTGCAGGGGAAGAGCAAAGCGTACATACACATTTCTAATTGAAGCTCTGCTCGATGCTAGCTCTTCGCTTTGCTCGCCGCTCCACTATGTTTTGACCCTAAGTTGTATTTAGTGTTAGGGTACACCATGTCGTAGTCGTAATCCACCTGTAGCAAAAAAAAATTCTATGGGCATTTTGCACCATGTCTAGTTAACGCTAACTGGAGGTACATCCTTCAGTTAAGCACATCCACTGCTTTATCGATCACATGTTATATGATGGGTGTCGATAACGTCGATAAAGATGTTTAACTGGGAGTTAGAATTAACTAGACATGGTGCAAACGGCCCTAAGAATGAATAAAACATCTTATCAAACATACATATGTATGTACATACATATATTGCAGCATATGCTTGTTTGAAAAATGGCCATCCATCAACAATTTCTTTCAAAAGTGAACAACCTTGGATTTCACTCTTTCGAAAATCATAAGGGGATATCCAAAGATCCATTGCTTCACCTTCATCACCAGACATAAAATTCATTTTATTCCGTTTTGAAATCATTTCTGGCACTGCGTCAACTTTTTCAAAATTGTTTGTTGCTTCTATTGGGGCTTACAATTGCTTGTTGCTTCTGGAAGGCTTCCGATTTAAATTATTAAGGGCCGTTTTCACCATCTCTGGTTAACACTAATCTCAAGTTAAACATCGTTACCGACGTTATCAACACAATGTTGCATGCATGGAGTCAGTAACGTCGGTAACGATGTTTAACTGGGGATTAGTGTTAACCAGAGATGGTGAAAACGGCCCTAAATCGATTAAACGAAGACCACCTGGATTCGCCTTCCGATTCTCTTTCCTAGATATATAATAAATATATTTGCTCTCCGAAGGAAAGATGTCAACAATTTCCTGTGAAATTTGTTCCATTTGCAATGGTCGTGGTATGGTGTATTTCTTCCGTTTGGAATCAAAAAATGATTCTGTAATAACGTTTAGCAATCTTTTCCTGTCGACATGATCAAGTATTTTTTTCTCCGGGTACGAACTCAAAACGTGCATCCCTGCTGGAGAAGATTTTAAAATGCTGCGAATACTCTAAACAATGGGCGCGTTTCTAATGGCCTGTTTTTGCTTATGCGTAAAAGCACATTTAGAGCATTTAGCTCTAAATGCTACTCTAAATGTACATTTATCCATACAAAATTCGTCACCTAAATGCAACTCCATTTTTGCATTAAGAATCTAAATGCTAAAAGCAACCCTGTGATCTTCCAAAATTTCCACGATTCGAACATGGTTTAAAGAGAAAAAGTGGCAACATTGCTTTTTCGAGTATACAGTTGCTAGCTGCGTTTCAGTGATCGTCGATCGAGATTTCTTTTATTTTACATTACATATTTGGATAAAGAAAAGTTAAGCAAATTCAACATCGATGTGATGCTGATAGAAATCAGGATCAATTTATGATCAACTCTCTTTGTTTTGTTTCCTAATTAAGTGAGGAAATTTTAATTGACAGCACCGACAAATGAATATATACACAAACAAATGCTCGGTTATGGTTAAAACAATTCAAGTTTTTGTATTGAATTTTTGGTTTAAAATTTATTTTTTTCCTTTTCAGTAGGGTTTTTGCACATTATCTTCTGCGTGAGAATTGATCGTAATATACACGGATCTAAATAAGAGACTGGAACACGGCTGTTTGTCAAAAGCATATGATTTCGAACTCGCGTAAATGTACATTTGCTAAATGCTATAGCATGAACGCTCTTCGAAAACATTAGTTCGAAAGTGCTAAATGTTGCATTTTAAATGCAGCAAAAACGCTGCATAAGACGTAGCTGTTGTTAACCTGTTGAGTGTTTGTCTTCGAAACGCACAGTTGAGTAGTTCCGCTCAGCTCAACAGTTGGCAACTTTCCGCCATTTTTTCAAGCGGAAAATTTTTACGCTACCTGAACTCAACGTGTTGGGCTTAGGCTAAACAGCTGATCGTAAAGACTTACGTCGCTTGTATTAAATTTAACGCCGCTTTGTTAGGTGGCAGTTGCAAACAAATTTATTCTATTTTATATTACTGATGTTATAAAGTAACTAAAATATTTTACACTAATACCACGTTTCTAAATATATGTTTTTAAGATGTTTGCTATATAATTATATACTGTTTAATTCATTATAACATTGAAAGATTTTTTCAAGACGGCGGCAGCTCAGCGTTGAATTCTAAATACTATCGGCGCAACTATCTCTATTTATTGCAATTTCATTTGTTTACATTTATCAGCTGCTCATTTGGTAGCATGTTCATCAAGCCGTTTCTAAGACGTAATTGTTGGTTCCAACAGTTGCCAACAGTTCGTAGCAGTTGAGCTAAACAGCTACGTCTTATAAACGCGCCCAATGAAAGTGATATAAAATATTTAAGGTGTTGTACATACATATATAAAGGAGCATGTGCACGGGCTTTGAATTGCTTACTACAAAATAGGGTAAAAGTGCAGTTTAGCTTACAGGGCCAAAAATGGAAGAAAAATTTCGAAAGTGGTATCAATCGACGCCTCTGAACGCCAATAATAGCTCTGATCCAGTACTCCCTGAACTTACAGGATTTTACACGAACTTGCAGGAAGTTGCAGGAAAAATGTTCCCGTACTCCAAAATCCTGTAAATGAGAGCCACTTTTGGAGTTGTGTAGAGAATAAAGTTGCAAGATTTTACCCGAACCTTTTTTTCTGGTAAAATCATGAAAAGTGTCAAGCAATCACTGGTTGAAGTTTTTACAGGAAAAATGGTTTTTTTGTTCCCGTACTTTTTTTTGTTACTCACTTTTTACTCTCACTTCAGAGAGTAATTTTGCTGTTTGACAGTTTTACAGGATTTTTCACGAAAAGTATTGGATCAGAGTTAATAATAATCCGACGGCGGAGATCAAATTTTTTAATTAATTAAAGAGTTAGGGGAAACTTTCTAATACGGGCGTTCATTAAAGGGGCGGTGGCCCAACACGTTGAGTTCAGGTAGCGTAAAAATTTTCCGAATGCGAATATTTTGATATTTTTTCATATTTTGATCTTTTTAGCCATTCAACTTTTTTTCGTGCAACCCTGCGCTGAGTTATTACTATTACGCTATTACTTAGCTGCGACATAATAAAAATAAATCAGCGAAAGCAGACAGCAAAAGCGAAAAGAGATATGAAATTGTTTGCGTTTGCTCACAGCACCGTTTGTTTTTGCTTACACAATCAGCCAAAGCAACCAGTAAACCAAATAAAAATAATGTGCAAATACCTAACTCACTGTTAAATCGACGGTGAAACAACATTGCCTTATTATAAAAACTAAATGCTATGATATGGGTTCTTAGGGCCGGTAACTCAATGTCTGGTTAACACTTATCTCCGGTAAAACATCGTTATCGACGTTACCGACTCCATGTTTTATGCATGGAGCCGAACATGTCGATAATGATGTTTAAACGGAGATTAGTGTTAACCAGACATTGAGTAACCGGCCCTTAAAATATCTTTCCAAAGTTGCCTGTAACATCGCCTAATGTGAACACATTGTAAAGCGAAAAACCAACCTTGATCGAATTATCGATTTCATCTCTTCACTAGTTTGGTTTGTTTACATTGCGTCGTATTCATAGTCCATCAACTAAGTCGAAACTAACAAAGTTGCAACTTAAATTTACGTACCAACTTAAAATTTACCTCTATTCATAGTCGCATTTCAGACTTCTACTAACTAGTTTCGACTTAGTTTACGATATAGCAAAACGAGTGTGAAAATGTATCGATTTTTCTTTACAGAATATTTTGGAAAAATTACATTTTTACTAAATAATGTCAAGTTTGATCATCCGTTTATGTAATTTTTATTTTCATTGCATGATTATGCAAAAGAATAAGGTATAATTTCCTTGTTAATTGTGTGAAATAGCCAGAACAACCGCAGTGATGTGAAGTCGATGTTTATCGAAAGCATGCTGTGAAACATACAAACAGTAGATATCTAAATGTTATGTTGTTGTTGTTGTTGTTGTAGCGGCTACAACAACCCCGCCCAGGACGGTTGGTATCTCAGTCGTTGTCGTCAAGTTCCACTAACGGCAGCCCTAGGAAGCGTGCAGCTTCTGTGGGGTTTGTCCACAGGGACAAGGCCGTTAGGGTTGTCGGGTTTTCCGGGCATGCGAAGAGATGTTTCGAGTCATGTGGGGTCTCTCCGCATGCCGGAAACTCATTCGGCACATCCTCATTCAACCTACTCAGGTAGGAGTTTAACCTGCTGCAGTAGCCGGAGCGAAGTTTTGCAAGTATTGTGCGAGTCTCCCGAGGCAGAGGCAGCTCCGTCTCGTCTATGTCCGGGGGTGGTATGCCTAGAACGGCATTCACAGGTCTAGAGTCTACATAACTCGAGACTGAGTCCCTGTGAATGCCGTTCAGGGCCTCTCGGTAAGCTGTCGGGTCCAGAGGTTGCTTGATGAACCTCTGGACTTCGTCTGTCAGTTCATATAGATGCCTCCTGACGTGCCTAGACGAGGGCTCCTCTGCAAGCAGCTGTCTGCTTGCGTGGCCACTTCTGTGGCTCCCGATCAGGAACTGCTTGCAGAGCATTATATTGTGCTCCTTTACGAGGAGCATTTGCGCTCCGCCGTGTAGATGGTATTCGGGCGACATCAGGAGGCATCCTGTCGCTGTCCTGAG